AGCAGGTAGGTGTTGTTTTCTTTTGTTGAAATTTTGGAGGTCATCAAATCTTGGGAATACTTCCATTGACAAAGAATTCCAAAGCTTCGCCGTCCGCCCGAACGAGTTTTGGTATAGAGTGTTGTTCGACATATTTCAAGGTTAATGACGAAAGGATGTGCTGGGGCCAGTCGAGCTCGTCTTACTGGTATTGCTAGTGATGAAATTATAGCAGAGATTACTCAGGAACATTTCCCGTGGAACTACCTACTAATAGAGAACTGAAAGGTCGCCGACTTTTTGACGGTTTTCTGATGAGGTCAAAGGGTATCAGTGAATGTGGCATCACCCACCAGGCGAATGGCTATTCTCTGGATGGAATCTAAGAGCATCAGCAGACATGATTTTTCCATGAGAGAGTGTTACTGATGATAAAACCGAGCATAGATGTAGTGGTCTTGGTGTGATTGATGGTACTATCGTCTGCAATGCTGTGAATAGGGCAAGTGGTTGCTCCCAATAGATCGTCCACCACCACATGGAGCGATCTGCTTGAAAGGAAAAATAATAAAAAATGGCATAGCTGAGGTGGTAAGCTCTATGATGGTAGTTTTTGGAGCAGTACTTTCTTTTATGTTCTGGTTCCCACGAAGAGGGATATCATGTATCAAGGAAAATAACGTAGGAATTGGTGTTCTTCATGAATTTCTGGAAGTAATATGCCTCGGGGAATACCTCTCTTGGCAATCTGTTCCAGAGCCTCGCTGTTCGTTGGATGAACGAGTCTTTGGACTGCAGATGTTCTGCAGGTCTCCAAAGTGACGACGAAGGAGTGCGATGCCTCAACTTGATAGGTTAATCTCGCGGGGACTGAAGGAGGAACAATTGTTAATATTCCAGAAGAGCATCGTTCATGAAAATATTTATAAAATAGAGCCAGATTGCCAACTTTCCTACAGTGTTCCAGAGAAGAGCAAGAAGAGCATTGTCCACGAAAATATCTGTAAAATAGAGCCAGATCACTAACTTTTCTACGGTGTTCCAGAGAAGTGAGTGAGTTTGTGAGCGAGGCATCACCCACGAGACGAATTGCTCTTTTTTGGGCAGAATCCAACAGTTTCAGGGTGAGTTTGGGTGCTGCACTCCAATATATGGGAACAGTATTCCAGGACAGGTCGGATCTGCGCCTCATAGATCATAAGCAGCTGACTGGAAGTGAAATAGCTCCTGGCCCGAAACAGAAAACCAAGTTTTTTGGATGCACTTTTAGCAATTGATCTCACGTGATTCTCTCAAGAAAGTTTATTACTGATAGTAATACCAAGCATCGAAATGGATGTCTTCAAAGGTATGGTTACTCCTGACAAGCTTATGTTGGGCACAGAGTGACATCGGCTTTTCTAGAGAAAAGGCCTGCTTGTGTTTTGTTTGCATTGAAATCTACCAAAAGTTATTGGATCCCCAGTCGAGAATTGTTGCCAAGTTCATATTAATGTTGTCAACATTTCTCCCTCGTTCGTTTCTGATGTGCCAAACACAGTCGAATGCCTTCCATATATCTGACGTCACAGCTAGAGATTCCCTGAACAAGCTCTGGAAATTTCGGCAGCACGAGTATTCCTAAATGTGTAAACATCATTCGACAAGTTCTATGAAAAAACAAACAGAAATCCTTTTGAGATTAGTGTTTATATGACAGCGTCCACTTCGCAGGAAAAAAATTGTGGTTCAAGGTCAAATGCCTTCTGGTTGGAAGTTAAATTTCTATCAGGGTCAGATCACGGTAACTCTCATATTGATATCACTTTTTTATTCATTATCAAAACGCTGCTTGTTATAGATATCCAGATAATTCGACTCCATCAATTCTGGTAGCTGGTAGCTGGTAACTGGTAGCATTGTTCTCGTCATCAATATAAATATATTGAAAATTTCAACAGACGAAGTATTTATAGTTTTTTTGGGAAATGGTCTGTCTTTGTGGGCGCCCATGTCATAATCTGTTGATGAGAATGGAAGAGAGCGGTTTTTTTCTTCATCTGAATTTGTTGACCTACATTCAAGTCATAAAAATTCAGAAACTGCAAAACCAACAACAATGGTTGTGTATTTTATGCTTGGCGAGCTAGAATGATGTGGTATATTGATACGCACCGAGATATCAAGACGAAAAGAAAAAATTGGAATTAAATGAGATGTTACCAACCGTTCCGGATATTTTATATGTGTGAAAGGTGTGAAAACACGTGCTTTCATCGAATGATTTGATCGATACACATGATAATGTTTCATTATATTCATGAAGATCTCGCATGACTAATGAATAAAAATAGATAGGTATTTATTATACAAGGCAAAAAAGTTGTAGATTTCAGCTCGAGGTTGTGTTGATAATAATAATAATAATAATGATATGCTTTATTGTTTGAAGAAGAATCTTGTTGACAAAGATAGGTCAGATAATATTGTAAAAAAAGGTTGAAATTTAACGACATGAAAATACCTACTTGAAAATATAGTCAAAATAAATATCACATTAAAATACTAAAATATCACAATTCAAACGTATCATGCACAATAATATTCCTGCAAACTGTAATAGGGTATATCAGAGAAAAACTTTTTGACTTTCTTCCTAAATCGACAGTCATTCAGACTTGCTGACCTTATATTAACTGGCAAGTGATTGTACATTTTCCCACCATTATAGCACAGATTAACATTATAGTACATGGAATCTTCAATGAACTCTCTTGTGGGTAGAGGTAGTTTCAAACTAAAATTACTGTTGCGCGTGGTATCATGGATGGAAGTTGTAGTGAATTTTAACTTGTGTTTATTCATCAGGCAAACAGATTCCAAAATGAATAGTGCAATCACTGTCAATATTTTTTTATTGGAGAATTAAATTCTGCAAGAATCTCGAGGTTTGACATTACATAAATACCTTATCGCTCGTTTCTGTGGAACTAACAGAGTTTTTTGAGACGTTAGGCTGCACACTCTCCAAAAAGGTATTAGTGAATAATATACCACCGCGGCAGTAAAGAATCCTGATTCCCTAGAAATCACTGTCACTGCATAACATCCAGAAGAAATCTTACCACTGAGTAGGTTGACGTGGTAACCAAATTTCAGATTCTTGTCGATGAACAATCCCAGAAATTTTGTATCATTCCTACTTTCAATAAAATTATCATCAAATGTGAGTTCATCACGGGAGCATCTGAATGATATCAAACTAGTTTTGGATATATTCAGCGACAGAATGTTGGGTCACACCAATCTTTCACCTTTTTCAAATCAGATGATATCAGTTTGTGCAAATCCCAAGGATTTCTACTGTTCCATAATATGAAAGTATCATCTGCGAATAGAGTGAACTTTCCAGTTATATCAATTTTCGCAAATAAAAAGTTGTATCCCCACGAGTAGCTGAGAGAGACAAAAAACCGAGAGTTAAAATCTAATATTTTTTCCGTGTATAATTCACTATTTTTTTCTGTAACAGGAAAAAGGACGAATCATTATCGAAAAGATATTGCATTATATTGAAATTAGAAGTAATTTGAAGTAATGAAATATCCGTCAGTCTAACAATTATTATGTGACTTGATTTTCAAAAAATGTGAACTTGATTGGTATTGGTAGGCGTCTGCTATATCAACGATTTCTTGTTCATAGCAGCCCCTCGAGATTCAATTCCTTCAAGAATTTGAGGATTTTGAGGGGGTCTAGCTGTGGTATTTCTTCCACAGTCAGCTGGTGTGTTCCCAGTATGTTCAATATTTTGTGATGTACAGCGTCACACTCCACCAGTATGTGATGGGGTGTTTCTGGTTCTTCCTCACAGAATCTGCAGGTGCCGTCCTCCTGTAAGCCTAGCTTCCTTGGGTGTTCTTTGAGTCTGCAATGCCCCGTTATAAATCCCGTTATTGCTTTGAGAGTTCCTTTGCTGAGGTTTGTCAGTGTCTTAGCCTGCTGTAGTCCTGGAAGACTTCTCCATTGTCTGGCTCTCCAGGCTCCTTCCGCCTTCTCAAGTTCTCCTTGGAAATAGGAATTTCCAAGGCCGCAGAATGGCTCTGGTCCGATCAGTGGCGTTGAAGCCCCTTGTCGTGCCAGAGCGTCTGCTTGTTCATTTCCCTCCACTCCAATATGCCCTGGCATCCAGAGGAGGATCACTTCATTGTTGCTGCCTAGCTCATTCAATTCGCTTAGGCATTCCCATATCATTTTCGAGTTGATGTAAGGAGAGCTCAACGCTCTGATGGCTGCTTGGCTATCGGATAAAATCGCGATGTCCTTCTTCCGGTATTTCCTGTCTAGGTTGAACTGGATGCATCTTCCTATGGCGTGTATTTCCGCTTGAAAAATGCTGGGGAATTGTCCCATGGATTCGAAGTATTTGGTGGTGCGAGGCCCAAAGACTCCTGCTCCAGTTCCCTCGGGTGTTTTAGACCCGTCCGTATACCAAGTAATGGTGTTCCTTCTTCTTCTTCTTGATGGTTGCATGTTTAGTAATTAACGTAATCATGAAGTGGAATGGAAGATAAAAGACTTGCAGTTCTTTCTCGGAGACGGTGGTATTGGCAAGTGAAATTTTATAACCTGTCAGCAGAGACGAAATTCCAAACTTCTTTCCTGTTATCGAAAAATAGTAGATTGTTTTATTAGGATCAAAATTGACACTTCGCTAACGCATCGCCTCGCCAATGCAAAATTTGCTTGTCAAACAAAGTCGCTTTTGATCCAGAAGAAAACATGCTACTTTTTCTACAACTGAAAGGATTAACATCACCTAAAACTAAAACAAACATAAGTGAAGCAATACATATATGTATATGGATCCAGAAATATCATCAGTAGAATTATTGACGGCAAATAAAACGACTGCTATGATCTAATATATCTATAAAAGTATATTTTATACCGAATAGGTGTACAAATAGGAAAGAATCCTTCCAAACAAATGAATAATCAATTATGCGTGTTCATTGCAGATGTCGAATTGAGTTGCTGCAATGGCTAGAAGGGTAGCTAAAAACCACTACGTAGCCTCTCCAAGGCACAACCATTCTCCCACTCCTGTTCACGTGACCAGGAGTTCAGCTTACTCAGATGGGGAAGAAAGCCACAGAGCACCATCAGAAAGGACACTTTCCGAATACACCTCAGTGGTAAGTGAAATAGTTATTTGCACAATGAGCATGATGAGTGAATTATGTCATTATGATCAAAGCAGAGCCAATCAGAAGGGCGTGTTTTCAACATTGTTTTCATAGAAGAAGGAATACATATCTAAGTCGTCTCCATGGGGAGACATGTTTTGGGCCAAAAATAAGCACATCATCATCAGCCAAAAGTACTACAACGTACTACAATGAGTATGAAACTAATAACAAGCATGATATAATTTTTAAATTACTTACATAAGGATGAAAAAAGGAGTTAGCGGTTGTGAAACATCTTGAATTTGTAAATTTTCAAATACAAGAATAAAATTGTGAATTTTGATAATTTTCATCAGTTATTCGTTATGAGAGGTTCAAATGACGCTGAATTTTGAATACAACATCACGATAAACGTTCATATTATATTGTCTCAGCAAGTATACGGACATCCATACCAAAACGCTCTAGACAGCCGTTCGCGATTACAAAACAAAGTGCTGTCGATTTGGGTCCATCTTGGCTGAGCATTTCTCTTGAGAATGTGAAATATGGGAAATGCATCAAAATGTTAGATTCCAAGTAAATCTGAAAACAATGAACGTGTGAAGAAGACCATGCATACTGCTCAAAGTGGAGTGGTAGTAGTTGAAGAAGAAATGAATCTCTAAGTCATCTCCCGCCATTTAATGGGTTAACATGGTAATGTTTCTATAGGTGGGACATGATTCGGGTTTATAATAAGCTTATCATCAGCCAAAGGTACTACAACGTCCTACAATGAGTATAAAACTAATAAAAGGCATAATATGATTGTTAAATTACTAACATGAGGATGATAAATGAAGAAGAAATTTTTGAATACATGAATAAAGTTGAAATTTTTAGCAGATATTTGTTTAGAGAGATTCAATTGAAGCTTTCTGAAGTACAATTGACTTCTTCTGAAACGCAACTGAAAAGGGTGTAGAGCGTAAGGTCAATGTCAAAGTCAAAAGTCCCAGAATTTTGCCGGATTGCCCCGCGAGGGCAGTGCCTGTTTCATCGAAAATATTCTGAAGAATTAATGTGAGATATCTAAACAGATATGGTCCTGAATAAAAGACATTCTAAGGAAGTTCACTGGATTTATCAAAGCTATCAGGGTAGTTTGCTTTCGAGTAATCATCTATTCAATGTTGATCGTAGTATTCTACCACGTATACCTCATTGAACAGTTTGATTCCTCGATTTTTGTCAATACAGCTCATTTCAAATATATTGGTGAAAATCCAATCCTACTAAAACCGATGAATTGAAAACCTAATCGAGATCGTTATAATTAATTGTGTGATCTTTAAACCATGAAATGAGCTTAAAGTCTTTCGTAACTTGATGAATGAACCGATTCGAGATAGATTTCACACGTTTTTCTGTTTATTTATGTAACGCAGTCAAAAACAGTAAGGGAAAAGAAATTTTCCCATCAGTATAATGAGAAACTGTTACATAACGATTGGTTACTATATGGTTGTACTTTTTAGGCTATCGGTATTCTATAACAGTCAGTACATGGTAGTAGGTACAAATACACTTTTGAGTGTCAGTATATAGCTTAAAAACAGAGGAAATACTATAACAATTCAGTGCATCTGAATCCAAGAAAACTTGCTACACATTGAGTCGCTTGGGAATTCATATTGTAAACGAGGTGGTCTCTGATGAGCAATTAACCTATCTTGATAACTAATTAGCCCTGTCTTGAAACCACCTCATTCAATATAATTCTAATTTCCAACAAAAGTATTTCTTGCCGAGCGAGACAAGTCGACAAGTAGGTTCTTGAATAAGTCGTATTGAAAAGCCACATAATCATTCACAATATATCATAATCAACTTACCTTTCATATCTGAAGTCCCAGCTAGCAACTTGTGACACAACCACGTGTACATGCATCACACTAGTAAAATATCTGAGCTTGCATCCTCTTCAATCAAAGTCTATTACTCTACTTTGAGACACTCTTTAGTTATTAGGTATTTGAAACAATGATTTACGTTAACATCACTCTCAATCTCAAATGAACCTGGAAAACTGGAAAAGGGATAGGAAGGAGGTCCATAAATCAAATTATAAGGTTACCTAACTAAATTAACAATGTTTATCATCAGATGGATAATAAATGAATGAAAGTGAATGAAAATAGGATCTGGACCTAACGAAATGACATAAAACTGACTTGATATTTACTGCATTCAAAGACTGGTTGAGAAATAGTGATAATTGAATATAAATCGTGAAGAACCATGATAATTGGGTTATCAACTCGAGTAGTTGATAATTCGTCAACTCATAATGAAAGTGATGATTTCAAATAACAGATTCCTTTACCAGCGTTCCGCCTATCACGTGACACAACTGAATAAAACAAAACTCAAAAAAACGAACATCCACAAAATTGTGCCAAGCATTACTTTTGTATAGCTTGTGTATCACGTGACATGAGGGAAGCGAAAACCCAGCGCCAGATCATAAATTGTATTGCACCATAAATAACATTCAACATATGTTTCAAACCCAAGAAGATTCATTTGACAATTCATTATTCTTCCGAGAATATATACGTAGTATATTATATGGTTGCCTTTGCCTGGGCAAAAAGCAACAAACCCAGATCCTTTACAGTATGTTTGAATAAAGGAAACTATTCGGACCCCGTTCAGATGGATCGAGCTAGCATTGACCGTTTTACAATCCAAAAATGATATCGTGTTGGGTATGGGAAAAAGGCATAGTGAGAAAACCAACAACTGTATCTCTCGATACCATATCCATATTTACCTCAAACTAATATGACAATATTTACCCAAATCTATAAGTATTCTGGTCGCCACATGCCAAAACTAAATCTTTTGAAATTCATTTGCGGCTGAGGTTCAACTGAAGGCTATTAGACACCCGTGCTTTATACCTACTCGTTACAAGTGGGTTGTAAACTATTATTTCGGTTCGGCTCTCGATTTCGATAAACTGTGAAATATACTGGGCGATGTAATTTTAACCAGCTCAGGATTGATTCAATATTATAATGAATGATGAAAACCTATTTATAGTAGCTTTCTTACAATATTCTCGAGGAAGCGAGAGACAAAATGTGTCATTATGTGACCCCGTAATCTACGTCACAGAGTAGGTACTTTGGTTGTACCCAACAATTTTCCAATGCCTGATTACCTATTTTTGATTATTTCAAATTTAACATGAACATATATAGAAAATCTCAATTACCAGTCGATGTTCAAGAATTGATTTTTGTACTTTCTAAGGGGTTAGTGAGAAGACAAGTATCTCAATAGCAAATCACGTATTGATATTATACCTGCACGTTGCTCGTTAGCATAAACGGTGTACGACAATAATTTACATTCAATCGCTTATGTAGGTAAATAGGTACCACACGTTGTACTTGAAATTTTCTCAAACCTTGCATTAACGAGTCAGTTTCTCTTTTGTATGGCAAAGTCGTTGACTATATTTTTTATTAAAATTCTCGCGAGGTGATTCACAAAATTCAGGGTCAATTGCCTTATACAGATTACTATTTATAGCTATAAGTATACCTACCGGTCTAGAAGATTCTCAGTCATTCTGAACCTGTTGCATGCCATACTCACGATTGATGTCAACGTTAAAAATGCATCATGCAAATCAGAAACGAACGAGGGAGAAATGTTGACAACATCATAAATATGGACTTGGCAACAATTCTCGAATGGGGATCCAATAACTTGGTAGATTTCAATGCTAACAAAACACAAGCATGCCTTTTCTCTAGAACATAAGCTTGTTAGGACTAACCATACCTTTGAAGAGATCCATTTCGATGCTTGGTATTACTATCAGCAATAACCTTTCTTGGGAAAATCACGTGAGATCGATTGCTAAGAGTGCATCCCAAAAACTTGGTTTTCTGTTTCGGGCCAGGAGCTATTTCACTTCCAGTCAGCTGCTTATGATCTACAAGGCACAGATCCGACTTGTCCTGGAATACTGTTCCCATATATACCCTAAAACTGTTGGATTCTGCCCAAAAAAAGGCAATTCGTCTCGTGGGTGATGCCTCGCTCACAAACTCACCCACTTCTCTGGAACACCGTAAAAAAGTTGGCGGTCTGGCTCTATTTTATATATATTTTCATGGACGATGCTCTTCTGAAATATCAACAATTGTTCCTCCCTTGGCAGTCCCCGCGAGATTGACCCGTCGAGTTGAGGCTTCGCACCCCTTCATGGTCACTTTGGAGACCTGCAGAACATCTCTTTCCAAAGACTCGTTCATCCAACGAACAGCGAGGCTCTGGAACACATTGCCAAAGGAGGTGTTCTCCGAGGCATATAACCTCCAGACACCAATTCCTACCTTATTTCCCTTGGTTCTCACGATGTTATCTGAACATTACAGTATATCCCTTTTCGTGGGAATCAGAACATAAAAAAAATACGCATTGTTACCAAGCGAGACATGAATGTGACATCCCAGGGATGTTTGTGTTTACATTGGAACTAAATAGAAATAGGCATCGTAATCTAGGTTTATTTTAAAGAAAAACAGACACCAAAATGAATAAAATGACCTACTATTTCACGATCTTGCTTCCAATTTTTTCCTATAGATATTAGGTATAAAGTTGAATTCCAGTCAAACTAATTGAACGATAGAACTATTTGTTCGTTTGATAAAATAACTTGTTAATTATTTTAGCTATCTTCGAGTCATGGTTTCGGCCTATTTATGATTTTGTTCAAATTTCAGAAATTCAAGAAGCACCAATTCCTACCTTATTTCCATTGGTTCTCACGATGTTCTCTGAACATTACAGGATATCCCTTCTCGTGAGAACCAGAACATAAAGAAAAATGGATTTGATAAGCTGCTCAATACTGACATGCTCACTCAAATCTCGAGCTGAAGCTCTCGGGAGTTATTCAGATTATTAATGTTCACATATTGTATCATCATATTGTCAGAATACAAGGTTCTCTTGATAGGATAATGATTCATGAAGAATGTAATAGTAGGCTATTTGTCATGGTCATTATTGTCAGTGAATGCCTATCATTGATGTCAAAATAATGATCTTCGTATTCTCAATTATTTATTCGGAACTGATTTTTCTCATTCAGAATTGAAGAAATGGGAAAATAATTCGTCACAATTTAACATTATGTTGTTACCCTTCCTCTCCACCAGTGACTGTGTAGATAACCAATAAATCATTCATATCACGAAAATAAATCATGGTCTTGTTTCTTCCAGCCATATACGATAGTAAACGAACGAAACGGCAGGAAGAACAACGGCCAGACCAAAAGCGGAAGTTACCAAAATGGCCACCAACACAGCACGAGCACGCCCAGAGCGCCATCTGCGCTGAGTCGAGGAAGCGGATATGACACGAACGGATCCGACATATACGTCACCAGCGGGGCATATAAGGCTCCCTCCGAAATCAGGTAAATGGAATCAGAATCAGAAATGTTTGATTTTTTATTTATTTATTTATTTATTCATTAGGATCCATGATGAAAATAACATTCATGTGGAATAAGTCAGATTAACAAGATCATTTCTTCAGGACAACCAACTAGTTTGAAATAACATATCTGTACCTGAGAGCCAAACTGTATTTACTCAATTTTTCGAAGTTAGCCAAGGTTAAACAGTATTATATCATTAACCTTCTCCGAGCAAGAGAGTATTATATGGAGTTAATATTGTTGAAGAAACTTAACATGTGTGGACGAAATACAGTTTTTCCAAGCAAAAGAGTATTATGAAGTTGATATTGTTATAGAAAATTTGTTTGTAAGGACATAATACAGTTTTCAGTGCCTGTATTATGTGGGATGAATCCAAGTTAGGACGTGGGGCAAATCAAATTGCTCCTGGTATTCTCAAATGGGCAGAGACCTGAAGTGAGTCTAAAAGTCTGGTCAGATAACTATCAATCCCAAAACCGTTGTGTAATTATGGTAATGGCATATTTTTGGATCTCAAAACAGTATCCAGATATGAAAAAGATGCATCACAAATTTCTGCTACGTGGTCATACGCAAACGAAAACGAACCCCATTTTTTAAAGTGATGACGCCCTGGGAATGGCAGCAACTGGCAAGGCTGTGTTGTCGGTCAAAAACTTTTGATGAAAGAAAAATGGAAATGTGTGTACATCAGAAAATGCACCTTGATGCATAAAATACGTGTACCAAATTTCATGAAGGTGTATACAATTTAGTCACAGGTATTATCAAAACACTGAATATTTTTTTCAAAACTTCATCACCCCGTATCTCAAAAGTTGAGTCTTTTAGGAAATACGTTAATATGGAGTTCTCTTCAGCAAATGAGTAAAAGAATCGCCCCCTCGAATATAAGCATATCTTTGAGGAACACCTTGTATAGATCTTACAAGCGTATTATGAAAGTCTTATCGAATACTTCATAGTACGATCACCATAATATAACAATGAAATTGATTTATAACAATGGAGATTATTAAATCAATAGCATGCAATCTTTGGGATTTAATAATACTTCACACATCACTTTCTATTTCACTAGATAAATATGAACGCTGGGAACTAGTGGAGATTATATTTTATTGGGAAAAAAACTGGAGCTTATGTAATGCGTCCCATATTATGATTTCAATTTTCGAGGCTAAAACCATTTGAACCTAATAAAATCAAAAATGTATATAAAATAATTAAAATTTTTATCATTGTTGAATTCATTTTTCTATAGTGATAAGTTAACGAATCCTCAATTTCTACTTCTTGAGTAACTTACATATAATCTGGATGAAATACTGTTTTGGACAAGATTCCTTTTATATTTGAACCATGTGACTAAAACGACTATTACGCATTTTTTCGTAACAGTGACTAGCCTATTCGATCCAGGAATTGCTGAAATACCTCCAAACGAAATTTGAACGCAATATCTCATAAATTTTGATATTTTTGATTTTTCGATTAACCCTGTATCAAAATCTAGTGAGTTGATATAACCGGTAAAGAAGTCACTAAAAAAATTTAAGTTGAAAATTATTTTATTATGATCCATATCTTTTCTCCTGGAAATAGTAGCTAATTCGAAGAAATATTCTCTATATACATAACAATTTGTTATTGTCATGTCAAAAGCTCATTCAATTTCTCGAAAATCAGTATATTATCATGATTACATGAAGCATCAGTATATCTCCTTGTAGTCTTTGGAGAGTGTTTGGTGAATCTCAACTTTAACTTAATTGATTGTTGGTTCACCTGAAGACATCTTCCTGTAGAACTCACAATTACGAAAAATTCTATCTACGTATTCTAAATATATTATTGTTTCTTCATTGAATCAACAAGTCACCGGTTATAATCAACTCCTTAGATTTCATTACAGGGTGAATCGAAGAAGCGAGAATTTTAAAAAATTTCAAAATTTGAATATAACTAACACCATACATATGAAATATTGCGTTCAAATTACGTATGGAGGTATTTCAGCTATGCCTAAATCAGGGCTAGTCACTGTATCAAAAAAAGCCTTTTTTCTGCAACCGACACAAAAGTCGTCCATTTTGATACCAAAATTAGCTGATAAATTGACGTTTCTATTACTGACACAAAAATAGGTATGTTGCTAGGCAACATATTTAGTTCCTAGGAGCTAAAGTTGAATTTTAGTTCCTAGGAGCTGAAGTTGAACTTTAGCTCCTAGGAACTAAAAAGGATCTATTGGACGTCATCAAGATTAAACAACATTGTGACGGTTGGTTTTTTGGGTTGAGACGCATACCTGATTTGTTTCCGATTTCAGCAGTTTTGGCAATTCATACCCATGCTGGAGATATAAATACACCTTATTATAGTTTAGTATTGGAATTATGAACATCTCAGTTAAGTATTTTTGTTTTGATCAGGGAAGCCTTCAAGATTCAAATACTTGCTTGATCTGTATTTCATTCGTTATTCTCGGGATGGATATAACTTGTTTTTGAATAATCACGGCAAGCAATTGTTTTTTTGTCTCAAACAACGATATTGTTTAGCTTAATTTGATTATCAAGTCAAACACAGTGTAGTATGGAGAGGAATAAATATTCACTATTATCAATTATCATTGTTGATATGCTCACTAACCTAACATTTTCCACTTCTTGTTCCTATAGCTGATGGCACTGGCGCGGTATTTGCCATTAGAGCACTTGGTCCATACACAAATATGTCACTCTGTGGTTGTATTTATATTGAAACTACAATTCGAACATCCTAGAAACCTAACCTGCTCTGTAAATGCAGGTAGAATATTCTCACCACATGGATTATTTGTCAATATTTGTTGCATTGCATACATAATACATATGGCATGGCATTGGTGGTTACTTCACATGTTTATTTGAGTTAATTGTTTCGGTTGCAGAAAAAATAGCATGTTTCATTCGGATCAAAAGTGACTTTGTTCGACTGGCAAATTTTGCTTTCGCTCGGCTTCGCTAAACGCTCCGCCTCGCAAATGCAAAATTCGCTTGTCAAACAAAGTGTCACTTTTGATCCTAATAAAACAATCTACTATTAATCGTTTGTGAAATGGCCCTTCTTTTTCATCATTGGACAATGTATATGTCACAATGTACTTCAATGACACATTTTTTTTATATTATGAAAGTCAACTAGAAATATGATTTGCTTGTGATTTATCAATATTTAGTGTAGTGAAAGGAAGGAAGAATATCATTTGAAATAATGGCGTGTGTAACGTCATTCTAAAGCAATCTGTTGACATTCGACAAATCGGATTCGGATTGATTATTGATTAAATAGCTGTAATATTCGGTTATATGGTATGATTGTTTACTAAATATGGAAAACTTGTCACAAAATGTAAATGCATCCAAGACAAGGGAAAAAAGTAGGCGAAATTACGAACTTTTTCTCGATATATCCAAATATATAGTGGTTTGTTCACATTTTCATTATCGAATTCGTGTTTTTTAGACAAATATACATAGGTAACAAAACGATTTAAAAAAAACCTAGCATGATGAGTGCAAAATTGTCGTACTTTTCTCACTTGTTGCACTATGCACTTGCACTATATACTATTTCAATTTCAACGATTTTCCAGTCGTAATTCTCGAATGCGAGCCCCCAGCCACTATTCGTACAGGAGCGGCGCGGCCCCATCTGTCACCAGCACGGCGAAATCGAAGGGCTCGAGGAAAGCAGGCATGACCATGGAGGCCATGGCCGCCCCCAATCCTTTCTGCCCCAACATCAAGGGCATGTGTTGCCTGATGCTGCTGCTCAACCTCGGTCTCATTCTGGTCACGCTGGGATTCGTTATTGTCCTCCAGTTCTTCGAACCAGTCTACGTTTGGTAAGTCATTGAGGTTTGTTCGCTTTCAGAAAATTATCAGATCGAAACCATCAGATGCATGTGCAGTGACTAAGAAGTGTTTGCGTTTTCTCAGGACTAATTTTTTATTCATGTTCTGGTTTCCACGAAAAGGGATATTCTGTAATGTTCAGAGAACATCTCGAGAACCAAAGGAAATTAGGTAGGAATTGGTGATCTTCTTGAATTTCTGAAGGTTGTATGCCTCAGGAGACACATCCCTTGGCAATGTTTTCCAGAGCCTCGCTGTTCGTTGGATGAACGAGTCTTTGGAAAGAGATGTTCTGCAGGTCTCCAAAGTGACCACGAAGGGGCGCGAAGCCTCAACACGACGTGTTAGTCTCACGGGGACTGCCAAGGAAGGAACAATTGTTGATATTTCAGAAGAGCATCTTCCATGAAAATATCTATAAAATAGAGCCAGATCGCCAACTTTTCTAAGGTGTTTCAGAGAAGTGAGTGAGTTTGTGAGCGAGGCATCACCCACGAGACGAATTGCCCGTTTTTTGGACAGAATCCAACAGTTTTAGGGTATGTTTGGGTGCTGCACTCCAAATATGGAAACAGTATTCTCGGACAGGTCGGATCTGTGCATCATAGATTATAAGCAGCTGACTGAAAGTGTAATAGCTCCTGGCCCGAAACAGAGAACCAAGTTTTTGGGATGCACTTTTAGCAATTGATCTCACGTGATTTCCCAAGAAAAGTTATTGCTGATAGTGATACCAAGCATCGAAATGGTTGTCTTCAAAGGTATGGTTACTCCTGACAAGCTTATGTTGGGCACAGTGAGATCGAATTTTCTAGAGAAAAGGCATGCTCGTGTTTTGTTTGCATTGAAATCCACCAAGTTATTGGATCTCCATTCGAGAATTGTTGCCATGTCCATATTTATGTTGTCTAATTTCGAAACAATGTACTTCCATATACTTCAAAACCGGCCACATTGGCGCTGCGTTCTTAAATTCAGTCGCCTATTACAAAATATAGATGTAGAGTGTTGGGGAAGAAATGATGGTAGTCCATGTTTCGTAGTGCTCTAGATAACTAGATAGTATAATTGTCGAGGCTTGGAAGCTCTATAAAATGGTCTATCAGACAGTCCGGAGTTCGTATGGAAACTCCCATGTACCAAGACATGGGTTTGAGGCCCAGTCAGGCCATGGATTTTAGTTGACGTAGTATGCAAGTTTCGACTTATGGGGCGTTGGTTCCACTGCTGGAACCAATGAGAGAACGCAATGAAAAAAAAAACAAAGAAACTAAATGAAACAAAAAAAAATCGACAATTGAATTCAGATAATTCGTTGCTCTTGAAAAAACAATGAGTATATATGTAGTGAGAAATGTCCCTCGCCCTGTTACTGAAATTCTTTTCGATAACATTGGCCATGTTCTTATATATAACTCATGTAAATAAAGCTCTGAGAAGATGTAGATTTCGTCATAACCACTCAATTTATATTTTCCAAGAATGTGACGAACACTTGCACATATCATGCTTCGCAAAACATTACCAAGGGTAGATTTTTTGCTGCGCCGTGAGTTCTCAGTTTCCTGGGAAGAAATGGGAATTCTGGAAGAAAACGCAGTATGGAGGGTACTATCATCTGCAAAGCTGTGGATGGGGCAAGTTGTGTATGAATCATCGTGTTTTTCTGTGAAGTTTTTTTTCGTTTATAATAAATATATTTTGTCAAGAACGCGTGTTTTATTATTTATCCTTTACTTGGAATAAAATGGGTTGAGGAGGATGAGTTTTTCGAGCACTTCCCAAGTATCTGACCACGAACTAAAAACTATACAATAAATGCGAAAGTGCATTTTTACCGTCATTCATGAAGTACTGCTGAAACACTTGTTTCAAGTGTCTTATATTTCAATAGTCGGCCATAATTTCTCAAGTAGATCGGTGTTATCCGGGTAATTTCATGCTGAAAGTTTGGACACTTCTACAATATCCTCTTTTTCAGGGTCTTGGGCATAATCTTCCTTATCTTCGGCTTCCTCACCCTCATCGGCAGCCTCATCTACTGCGTCACCATCTGCAAGGACGTCAAGCGACCCAGCGACGTCAACCCGGAGGAACTCTACTGGACCCACCACTGGCCGAGGAGAAGTACGGAGATGATCGGTACAGCGATAGGTACTCGGTGAGCAAGCTTTCCGGCAAGTACTCGGACAGGAATAACGGCCGGTACTGACTGAAGATGGTGCGAGCGGTAGAGACGAAACGTCAGGGGAACGGAGATCGGTAGCTCCGAATAATGGCAGCGTTCGTCGAGAGATGAGGGAATTAAATGTTCTTATCGAAAAGAAGTTGAAACGTGCGATCAATTTATATTCTATATTGGCGATTCTACAGGGTGAGTCAGTTTTTTTCAGCAAGACTCCAACAGCTTATAGAAGATTATAATTTCTGATGAAAATCTCATGCGAAGAAGTCCCTTTCCCATATACAGGTGGTGTGATTTTGTTTTTTCGTGTTTTTCAAGTTTTGCCACTGAGTTTCATTAACACTTCTCACGAAAGCTTTCGATCATTCCAGATCTACTAGTCAATTTTTGAGAAATGTCAAATGGAGTATGTTCCTAAAATGAAGTTTTCTCACAAGTGAATTATTTTTGGAGTTTGAGAATATCTCGAAATCCATACAGTTTTCGAAAAACATATAAGAGAGCAGAAGGTATCCTAATGAAACAGAGAATCAGAAACGATGTTTCTTTGAAAACAGAGACAGCACGCAGAATTGCTCAAGAGGGTTGAATTGGGTTCAACTTTCAAAAGTGTATCAGCCTTTATGTAATCGAAAACGCGTACTAGCCCTAAATATTGAGTTTTTTTAATGTAATGAACATATTACACTTTGAAACGGCTCAACAACGAGAAAGCCAAACGAATTAAACTGAAAACTATTCAAAAATTCTCGATTGAGATCTTCATATCATTCGGCATGTCAAAAAAAATATTGAGAGATTGAAATTTTTGAAATTGACATCAATGAAACATTAAAAATCAAAATCAAACAAATTAACTTTTTGAGCATACTAATAAAAGGAGGAAATAATCTAATTAACAAATTGCAATAATTGTACTTGTGAATAGAATTAATGACAGAGAGATAGGTGCGGCCAAGGTTGTAAAAAAGGAACTGAACTAAAAAGGAGAAGAAGAAATTGTTGCAAAGTTTCATTAGAATTGAAAAAGGGAGAAGGAACTAATATGTTGAAATCAGCAACAGGGCCGTACTAAGTAACAAGATCAGAATTTCATGAAAATATTATCGTACCTTCGAAAAATATGGTTTCTTTCAAAAACGGTATGGTCGTTGAGACAAGTGATATAGGGATTGATGATGCATTTCTGACTTTCTAAAATTTCTGGGAGATTTAGTAGTGAACCATCATTACAAACATGAATGATCTCCACATTGGAGTTGACGTTGAAGAATGATTCGAATCAATAATGTGGTTGGCAAATGAAGAAGTTGTGTTCGAACTGTCTGAATTAAAAACTTTGTGGGTAAATCGATTGTGATCCGAGGCACTGGTTTCAAATATATGTTCTTCAAGCTGTTGAAGTCCTGCTACAGAAAACTGACTCACCCTGTATAAATTAACACTGTGATAGCCCAAAAAATTTACTCAAGGTATATTATGTAATTCGTTATTTCAAATATAGACGAGTTTTGAAGGAAATCCAGAATTACGTAAGTTTTCATTCTTGAAGCTCCATCTCATGATACCTATTCTTATATGTATAGAAAGGTTACATCACCAGTGTTGACATGATGATTATTCATTGAAATACAGTAAAGTTATATTAAATGTCCAAAGCAATGACAGCAACGATGCCATGAGAACAGTAAATTCTTTTCTAACGTTTTCGAGAACTTCAGGGGTTATTTTGTGTAGTTTCATTTCAGAATCGTTTCTTTATCAGATCATTTTATCTCCTTAGCTATTAATAATTGAAATTTCGATTATATTCCGGTTTTTTAATCACATTGCTAGATTATAAGTGATTTAAATTTTTCTATGAAAATAAATTCCAACAATTCAATAATATACATGACTAATTTCAAATTAGAGCGTAGAACTTTTATCATTAGCATTAGCATTCATCTTGTAACTTCAATCTTCTAATTTGATAATTTTTGTTGACCCTGTAAATAAATATTCGAATGATTATATCATTGGATAGACGATCACTAGACCACTTGAACGAGGTGTCACATGACCCCTGTTCGTATTTAAAAAAAAACTGCCATTACGTCATTAAGCCAACACCAGTGGCGTTACGTCTCCCATATGTATTCAGAAATTGAAACATACGTGGATTTTTTCATAGCTGCCTGCCTATTTCTGAAATAACGAAGTTATTTCATACATCTGAGTCGTACTGTATAGCCTAGTAGTAGACTATCCTTAGAGTCTCGACGATGAGCATATACCTATGGGTGAGGTATTTTGTATTTTTGTGAAAGCAGCAACTACTCTTAAAATCAGTGTCACTATAGTTGAATGAATTGTCTCTTGTCAATGTCATGTAAAGTTAATTTGAGAAAAAGGAGTCAAATAGTTGTTTTTGCTCTGATTTTCAATAAATACAAATCCATCACCAGTTGTTCATCTTATAAAAATAGTGTAATTCTTGGAAGTGACTTGAACCGAGAATTTTAGAGCCCATCAATGAAAATAAAAATGTTTTGATGATTCGCGAGTTATTGCAATGAATTTCAAACTTCTGTTATATATCCCTGGCCTATTTGAAAATAGAATTCAACATACAACATGGTATTTCAAAATGGAGGAAGCTGCTTCTTTTTAAGCCTCAATTCACTTTTATGTTTGATGATTTCAGTATTCGACCAGTGTCAATTCTTACTAATTCCAGTTTCATGAAGCGAAGAAATGAAAATAATTTACACAACGTTTATATCACTGAATTGAATCATGTTTCTTACTGTTAAGTATTCATGATCATCTGTCATATAAGTTGTGTAAATAAACAACATATTGCGAAATCATGAAATAACAAATATTTAACAATACCTAACAAAATCAAGTTTTTGTCATATGGATTCATTGCACTATGGTGTTAGATGACATAATTTTTTTGTCAATGAATAATCTCTTTCCCTATTCTCAGAAAATGTATGTAGGCCTACTGCATGTGATATTGTCGAATAATTATTTAAATATTGTAGATCTTAGATCTTCTTTGTTCTAATCTTGTAATACAGTTCTTTCACCTCAGAGGAAGAGGAGAAACAAAATAATAAATTTTTTAAAACGAAAATTTTATCAATTTTTATTTTTCCAGTCCCATAGTCTTAAATTGACTCATTTATCCCTAAGGAGATATAGGTGATAAGTGTTCAGTGCAAATTATTGAGATACATACTATTTTATTTCTTACAAATATATAAACAATGCATGAGTAAAATCACAGAATATTGACAAATAGAACATAAAATTAGTGACTTGAAGCGTTTGATCAAATCTACTTATCCCATATTTGACCAGGATTTGAAATGAACAGTTATGCCACATATACATGTCATTGTATAATCTGATTCTGGTACAGGACCCACACATTGAGGACAGATTCAGACCCAAGATTGATAAACTAGACAGGTATGATTTTAAATACTGTCTGTAGGTTAATCGAGGAGGACGTACATTCATAATTCCAGATTTTTTGGTATTTTCTCTCCTCGTTTATATAAAATAAAAATATGAATATTATTTCAACCCAGATAACACACATACATCCATTGGATGTCCATTTTGAATCCATTATGTAGCCGGATGTCCATGGATGTCCAATGGACATCCATTGTGTATATGTACAATGGACATAGAGATTTGTACATACAATGGACATCCATTTTGTAGTTGTACAATGGACAACGAAATTTTTACAGCCAATGGATATCCATCATACTTATCCAATGGAAATCGTTTCGCAAAGTATATATGTGTCATTTATGACTCTTCTATTTCAATTGAAATATTTTTACCAATAATATATAATATATATATGAACATTAATCACGGACAACTTCGCACTCGGTACTATTTTTCAAGATTTTATACGTCTCATAATTTTTGTAGGTTACGTACCTATATAGAGGTAGGTAGGTACTTATTTTAAAGTTGATTTTCATCCAATTTCAATTTTAAACCATTTAGGCCGTGCAAATAATAAGATCGATATGGGCAAATATTATACGGCGAGGTTTCTTTCGAAAAAGATGAATCACCCTGTAACACTTCTGATAAGGGCCGTGTAAAAGCTTTATTGCGGCACTAAACTTCAGCAAATTGCATTTTCTCTCGATGTGAAATACCGTGAATACGAAATACTTGCTATAATATTTATAACAGCTCAGTGGTCCAGAGGTTAGCGTTGTGATCCACGAGAGCGGGGTCGGGAGTTCAATCCCCTCAAAGGACAACTTTTTTTTAATTTCTACGTTCTGGCTGGACAAAATTTGGATATCCAATGGAAATCCAATGTATTCCTGATGAGTATCCAATAGACTTATCATTGGAATGGACATGAGTTGGATTTTTGGTAGACATCCATTAGAGTTCTGATGTGTATACAATGGTATTTCAAATGTAATGGACATACAATGGATCTTCATTGAGAATCCATCGGATGTCTGATGAGTATCCAATAGACTTCCAATGGAAAGGACAAATATTGGATGTCCAATGGAAATCCATCAGATGTCTAATGGAAAGCCAATGGACTTCCAATGTATGTCCAAACTGTTGGACATGTATTATCCAATGGATGTCCATTGGACAAATAGTGGACAATGCCGTCCATCCAATGGATGTCCAGGGTATCCATAGCTGGACATCCATTGGTTGTCCAATGGATTCACTTGTGTTGTCTGGGAATATACGTGTAGTGAGGACAAATCAGATGATTCGACCCAAAATGTCACTGCGTTCAAAGAATTTTCCCATCAGAGAGCCCAAAAGAAAAATGTACTAGCTTGTCAGTGACAATTTGTATTGGAAAAAATTTGGAGAAGAGAAATAAAGGTATATAAAAAAATATAGCTTTGGACGTTTCGGGAACGAATCTGCTCCCGTTTTCAACATAAAAAATCTATTTTTTGTATCGTATTTGTCCTGACACTTTTCAGTTCTGTGACAATCGGTGACAATCAAATGAGTTACAGGATGTTTTCATTAATTAATCTTGAATGTACCATTTTCATTTTCAAATTTCAATAGTGAATACCATGTTCTATCTATATCAACATATGGCAGAGTGGAATAATATTAAAATCATTGGAAAAGAAGACAACAACCAGAAGAGAGAAATCAAGGAATCTGCTTGTATTCTTCTGAACGGAGACAATAGCATTACTTCCTGCTCAGTTGATATAGATAGAACATATGGTATTCACTATTGAAGTCTGAAAATGAAAATGGTAAATTCAAGATTACTTAATGAAAACATCCTGTAACTCATTCGATTGCCAACGTCACCAATTGTGTCAGGACAAATACTGATTTGCGATACAAAAAATCCATTCTTTATGTTGAAAACGGGAGCAGATTCGTTCCCGAAACGTCCAAAGCTAAGTAAACATTTTATATTCTTTCAATATACCTTTATTCCTCTTCTCCAAATAAATTTTTTTCTATACAAATTGTCACTGATAAACTGGTGAATTTTTCTTTTAGTCTCTCTGATAGGAAAATTCCTTAAACGCAGTGACATTTTGAAGCAAATCATCTGATTTGTCCTTACCACAAGTATATTGAAATAATATTCATATTTTTATTTTATACAATGAGGAGAGGAAATCCCAAAAAATCTGGAATAATAGACAGGTATGGTCTGAAATCCTCTAAGCATGAACTGAAGGCACTCTAGCATGTTCATTCGGTAGATGCAAAAGGCTCCTATTTAAATAAATCACTTGAAATCTATTATATGACTATCATAAGATCTTCACTAAAAGTCACAAGATCACTTCAGATGCAGCGAACAGGCATGATGTCTTCACATTCTGGTTGTGCGATATTCTGCGTTTTATTCAGCTGCGCAGCCATCCGATCAGCCGACCGTGTACCCACACTTGGTGCACTTCTTCTTCCTCATGCAGCAGCAGCATATGATGCCGCAGGGGAAGCAGAATAAGCAGAGCAGCCAGGCGCACAGCGAGTACGTGCCCGTCCAGCCGTTGTTGTGGCAAACTGGACAGCTTCCAGGAAGTGGATGGTTCATCACCACATGGACTTGTTCTGGAAAAAAATCATTGGATGTAGTTACTCAAGGAAATGAGCGACATGGTGACCGTGGCGGATTATTGGCAGGCTGTTACATCCCAGCGAGCACAAAAACATCTCAGAGATGAAAAGTACGAGATTTCGAGACATTGAACCTCCACTGCGATGTTCTGTTCACACATGAATAGAACTATTATAGAACAGCCAATGTCCGCCGCAGGCGGCAATTATCGAGATGTTCTTGATATGTCACAAAACTACCTTCTCCCTAGTTCTTTTTAAAGGGACACAACAAAACATTTTCAACGCGACTTGCGCACATTAAATCGCTGTAAAAAAAACATTTTTGAGGTACTTTTCTGAAGCCTTTTGTCAAAATGAACTTTTGCATTAGGATTCCATTTCCATTGAATGAAAAAATAGATTGAAGATAAAAATATTTTCTTGATATGAAATTACTTTCTCAATCGGTTTCTGAGTAGTGCTTACTACACACAGACATATAATTGGAAATAGGTTTCCCAATTTTTGAAATGTTCTCCACAATGCAGATTTTGCAACTGCGGAGAAGCTGTGTATTGATGAATTCGTACTTTTATATATTGATTACACTGAGGCACCGAACAACACATCTTGCATCTGATGGTCATTATTACAAGCTAAATAAGTCTTCTAACACAATAAACTTCACCAAATTCCTTTCTGTTCGTTAGCAGCGTGATGTAAGCGTGACACGCTGCAAACGCGAATGCCAATAATTGCGAACAAGCAGAACAAAAACGAAAACAAATCAGAATTCATCGTATTGTGACGTAAGCATGAGACGTTGTGGTGGGGCAAACAAAGAAAGGGCACAAAAGAACAAAAACAATACTTTCAATATCCTTCCAAGACCTCCTTGGGAAGTGCATATTACGCCTCAAAAAAACATCCTCATGCCTACATTTCTAAAACATCCCAAAACATCCCAGGGATACCTCTCAGTAGGCAAACAAAGAAATGCCACAGAAGAACAAAAACAATACTTCAATATCCTTCAAAGACCTCTTTGGTCAGTGCATATTACGTCTCAAAATAACATCTTCATACGAACATTTTCAAAACATCCCAGGGATGTTTGTGCTCGCTGGGATGTCTCTTATGCACCCGGTATACCAAAGAAGGGATGTGTTGTATTTCGTGCAAGATAATTTATTCAAATTTATTACTCGTAGCAGAGCGCTTTCGACCTGTTAAGTCATCATCAGTGCATACCTGTATGTAAGTAATCTGCTATACAGTGTGTCCCACTTACCATGCTCACCATGGGTATCTTTTCAACGGTGAGAGATACGAGGTCGGTTAAATGACACCAAATGTGGAGTTTGTCAAGGCCAACTATAATGTGAAAAAATATTTTTATAAAATCTATATTTTATACGCAAAAAACAGATTTTGATCATTTTCATGTCTCCCCCGTAACTTCTTTATTTATGAAAATATTCAAATAGGAATTTCACATTCTCATGGCAGTATTTCAAAGTGATTTCGAGAAAAATATGAAATTTATACCAAACTCTTCTAGAATTTGAGATATCAGCACCAACTTCAGTTTTTCAAATGTAGGTCATAGCTCACTATGACTCAGTTACAAATAACTTTTTTTTCTCTCAAAGATGATATGTCGCAGTTATAGTTTTGAGTTGATAACAACGGAGTTATCATCATTTATACAAAAACAAAAAATTATTCGGAAGCCGTCATCTTGAATTTATGAATTTCAACAAAGAAATCATGATCTTTGACCTCAAAAACCCCCACTTACCAATTTTGAATGGAATCGGACCAAATCTTGTCCGCCATCTTGGAGCAGTCATATTTTTAAATTTCAACTAAAATTCCATAACTCCGATTAACTCGAAATTTGGCAGGTGTTCATAATTTCGGTGCCAATACATTATGGAATTTTTGTTGAATAATTCCATTCAAAATTGGTAAGTGGGGGTTTTTGAGGTCAGAGATCGAGATTTTCTTGTTGAAATTCATAAATTCAAGATGGCGGCTTCCGAATAATTTTGTTTTTCCATAAATGACGATAACTCCGTTGTTATCAACACAAAACTATAACTGCGACATATCATCTTTCAGAGAAAAAAAAGTTATTTGTAACTAAGTCATAGAGAGCTATGACCTACATTTGAAAAACTAAAGTTGGTGCTGATATCTCAAATTCTAGAAGAGTTGGTATAAATCTCATATTTTTTTCGATATCTCTTTGAAAAACTGCCATGAGAATGAGAAATTCCTATTTGAATATTTCCATAAATAAAGAAGTTACGGAGGAGACATGAAAATGATCAAAATCTGTTTTTTGCGTATAAAACAAAAACGAATAGATTTTATCAAAATATTTTTTCACATTATAGTTGGCCTTGACAACCTCCACATTTGGTGTCATTTAACCGACCTCGTATCTCTCATGCACCGTTAAAAAGATACTCATGGTGAGCA